CAATAAATGCAAAGTAAGAGCTTTTGTGTGTTAACGCTTGTTTTAAGTTGCCAGTGAATTGAAAACAACAGCTTACTCAGGTTCAATGTATGATGCATGAGGCCTATACTTGAACCTATCTTTGTTTATTGTGGAAACGAAGATTAATGATTCAGTACCAGCTCCCTTTAGAAAGACGACTAATTCAGTCTGAATGTTTGCGTTACCGTCACGTTTTAGTTGCTCAATGTATTTTGGACTTATTATAATCTTATCACTTTGTGTAAAAGCCAGAACAAGATTTATTTCCTAATCGTAGGGCAGACAGTTAATTACGCTCGGATATTGGTGGACAACTGATTTCCGCATGAATCGCGCCTTTGTGTGGTACATTTGGGGGATTGATTGATTATTACCAGTCGTTGTTTTAAAACATTGCACATGAAACAGATTACAAAATTTGAAAATTACGAAAGTGATTGCTTGTCATTCTTTATTCCTCTTGTTTTTGAAAATTCAGGTTCGAATTCTCTTGTCTCAGCAAACTACAAAAGGAGTACAGACCCCTAACTTCTCCTGAACAAGATTCTCCTGTTCAATGATTCAACGATGCATTCTCAACCATAATATCCAATTCACTGTTTTCGAATTTGTGTAAAACCGTGAGCATTTCAGCAATCTAGATGAATGAATAACAAATCCTATGAATTGATCCGAATTAGTCTGTAGAATATTTTAAACAAATGTGCTTTCCTGTTTTTCACCAATCTTTTGTGCAGACTGCCCGTCTAAAAAATATGGTGGGATTAGTATTTCATTTTAAGGGATGATTTGCGCTCTTTCTTCTCATATCAATTTTTTTCGTTCATTTCATCTGATTGGTGCGATTTCTTGATCATATTTCAACGACTGAATTGAACATGTATGAGTAAACGAAACTAATTATAACAGTAAACTAACATGCATATTGTAAATTTCCCTCTGTCATCTGTTCAAGTGATCGGGGCCTGATGATGAAAAATGTGAGAATCAATTCAACTCAGTTTAGGATCAGGTGCAGTCAGTGAAGACCTCTGAAGGGTATAGGTGCGCTCTCATGTTCACAAATAGGCCGTGTTGTACCCTAAAAGGTAATTCCAGAGATAAAAAATTATGTTGAACCGTATCATTTACACACGGTAAATAGGGACAAAGGAAATTTATGTTCCCAGCATTCATAACTTGATCCTATTGACAGAGCCACAAAATGAAATGATGTTGTTATTACCAATAGTTCGTGGCATATGTGCACTAAAGGACTGCCCTAAAATTACCTAACATAAAACTACTGTTTTCTCATTCACAGTCGCTGAAACGGTAGCAGAGTTTTTCAATTCCACTGAAAGCGAGGTTTTCCAAGACAAACCAGACGTTCGCTTCGTCACTCTGGAAAAAAAGGACGTGTTTGATAAAATAGAATCACGAAAAGGAGGAAGAGCAAGACAGCGCGTGGAAGATGGTGTCATCCAAATGGAGGCTTGGTCTCCCGTGAAAATCCTCGATATCACCTCTATACGTGTTTGGGTAATGCGTGAAAAACAAGCTGCTGAACTTTGCAACGACAGGAATGGACCAGTAAGTTTGCCAGTTAAGTTTGAGGGACATAAAGGCGCAAGGGTAAGTTAAATTTCATCATTCAACTCATTCAAAATGTTTCTTTTGTCTCTTTTTCTATTATGATTGGTGTTGCTTTTACATTTTGTATCACAAAATAACTGCTACACTTACGCAGTAAACACTCATCTATGCACGCTGTGAGTGCATAGAATTGTTGAGGCGTCTGTATGGAAATATGATTGTGATATGTAAGGATCGTGGGTAACTGAGAATTATTTCACAAATGAAATTTAGGACTTTTCTATGTTTACATAAGTCCACCTGGCGAGGAAGGGTTAAAAATTCTCATATTGCGTCTAAGTGCGCAGCTGTGGCAAATTATTCCCTTGTGTCTCAGATGAGGTTATGCACACATAGATAAATTCTTCTCAAATCAACTTATACATAGTTCATTGGGAAGTTAACTCAGGGAGTTCATTAATCACGACAAAAGCAAAAGGATCCAACTAGATATTGTAGATAGCTATGGGGATACAAGTGAACCCGTGGTCACTGTTTTTACAAGTAATTCTCCAGTAATACTTCTATTAAAAAAAACAACAACAACACCGTTTGCATGTACAGTCTGTGCGTGCACTTGCCATCTGTGAATGGTTTTAAAGGTGAAATGTTCTGTTTGAACCGATTTTCTGGCAAATGCTTTTGACAGCAGACGGCAGGCAGCGCTCTCGCCCTTGGAGCCTTCTTTACCACTAAGAACGAGTGCTGAAAGCTCTGGTCTGGTCCCCGATTTTCCCTCATCTCCAGACACTTGTTAAAATATACATAGTTAGAACCCAATAGGAAACTAGAAACCACCAAGGTTTTCATCGGAGTCTATCGACCCGCTTTACTGACGATGAGTCAGATCATTGGAAATGATATTAAGGCCAGAGGCAGACATATAGATCCGTCACTTAGATTTTGGGTCATCATAGTTGCTATGACACAAACGAGCCAATTACACACAGTGAAGTGGATGATATTGACGCTTTTATTACATGATTTGTACAGCAATTATTCTCAGTTGATCTGGATTCTAAATACGATGGCCCGAACCCCTGGAGTCCTCCATTGTATAAATTGGAAAAAGGAGACATGAAGAAGAAAAACGTTTTTCAGCTTTTGGTGGAGCTGCCCGCACAGTCTGGAGAGACTCAAGAGTTCTATAGTAAACCATTCCTGCTAAGAAGTAAACCTAAAACTGGCCAACCTAAGAAGAGGAAATCCAGTGAAGGTTAGTGGAATACACACAGTAAGTTGACATTTTTTGTTAAGTCGATCCCACAAGCACGAACAGAAAATTCACTTGGGACCTTTCTTCTCATCCTCTCCTTAAGCAAAAAAAGTGAGAAAGAAGAACCAAGTCATGGCGTGATGAAGAATTTAAATCTCAAGGAAAAATGGCTAGTATCGCAGAATTAGGAGAATACGCATTCTTCCGTTCATTATTCAACTTTACCTGTACTTTCTATACCTTTTATCCTTCACAGAAGCTGGGGGAGGGGGGGTCTTTCTCGTTTAGTTGCCTAACATTTGATTTTGTATTTAGTTCACTTTCTTAAACCCACCAAACTGTGTGTCTCCGTGTTTCATTCAAAACTGAAAGCAAAGTGATACGAAAAATTGCAAAAAGTAAATAAGTAAACAAAGATGCTTTATACCTATCACTTTTTAAACTTAACAGATTCATCTTCAGTGGAATCCAGTTCAGAAGGCTCAACCCCAAAGAAAGGTGAGTTTGATTTTATCTGTTCCTTTTTCTTTTTTTTTTCTTTGTGGTGTGACATTGCGCTACTTAGCCTTTTGGGATCGGAACGATTACTGTAAATAACATTTGTGCTTTAATGTCTATATGAAGAAATGTTTTTGAAAAAAATTAAATCAGACGCCTGTATTTATAAGCCACAACCAATATAGGCTTGGCTGGACTTACAATCGAACAAAAACAGGCTAAGTTGTGAAAAATTTTGAAAATTTTTAAGCAAGGTGAGAAAAATATTAAGGGGCCACGGTTTAGTTTAATGTTAACTTGTAAAACTCCCTGAGGAAGTCGACGAAAAGCGTCGTAGAATAAGGAGGTTTTACAACTACTGTCCGCAGAGTGCTGCTCACTAGTTTAGTTTCTTAAATCCTTTTTCAAAAATTGTCACGTGTTGACATTTGTTCGCCATATCGGGGTATATTACATGTTTGGGCTTCTGGATTGTGTTCGTTATAACGAGGATTTCGTTGTATCGAGGTTCGTTATTTTGAGGTTCGTTAAATCGAGGTTTTTTCCCATACATTTCACTGTAACTTTGGCCGTGGCTGTAGAGTATGGTTCGTTATGCCGAGGACTTCGTTATATAGAGGTTCGTCAAATACAGGTTCTACTGTTTGCTACCATTATACTACCCTCAAATCTAGAAAAACTGAAATGTCGAAATTATAGATTCCTTTGAACTAATACGCGCGCACATAAGTTCAACCTAAACTATCATATAAAAAATCTCTTTGTTATTGACTTTAGTTCCTAGTTCCTTTCAAAACCTTCGGGTGATTGAACACTTGGAAGCGAAAAGTGCTTACATTGGAAGTTTAAAATATGACAACTTGACAGTAAATGAAGGAAGAGCCGATATTGGATATCACTTTAAGGTGAAGGATCCTAATTTGTACAAAGAATTTGAGGAAGGTGATGTGCTTGGGTTCTTCAAAAGTGACGATGGAACAGCATGCGTACAGCTTTTAGACAGCCAAAATGGAAAGCAAGCTTTCATGGCAGGAGTCATCAGCCGGTCAGCCTACCTAGAGGCCACTCCGGCCATAAGTCAAAACGGTTTGTTTTTTTTTACTGTTACTTTAATTGTGGCTTGGGTTCTCTCAGGAACGTTGTGCGCATATTCACCCAAAAAATGACACTTTCGCCTGCGTTACCCAAACGTCAGGCTAAAATCATGTTCAATAAATGCAAAGTCACTGTAGTCCAGAAGTTCCTTTTAAATTAGATCACGTTTTTTTTTTTTGTTTATTTTGTTTTTCTCTTCCTTCTTCGTGTGACTCTTCTGTTATAGATCCCACTGATGTTATTTGCGTAATTGGAATTATCAAAGTAAAGTGTATGGGATCTGTCCGGGCTGGAGAACGAATTTATACTAATGTGAGCCCAGATCATCCTGGCACTGCTATCCCAGAGTCCCATTTGCCTCCGTGTGTGATCTTGGGTGGCGGCAGTGTTCTATTGGGGATGTCAATGGAAGAAAAGGAAGCATCTAAGCTCAATGACATTAACTTGGTTCAGAGTTTTGTGTGCATGGTTCTTGGAGTGAGCGATAAAGAAATCAAATCAGAAATAGGAAACATGTATAATCGATTCGACGTGGAAGTGGCTACAAAGCTGCGAAAAGAGAGAAGAAAGGCGAGCCGAAGTAAGTACAAGAAACTTTATATATGTGGCGACTTTTAAAGGGTCTCTGATTCAAGTCTACGACTTCAGTTCCGATCCTCTTTATATCAGAACGCATCGGCGATCCAGTTGTAGTGGCATCAGTATAACATTATATCATGAGAAAAGAAAGCTAATTTCTTTACCTAAATTAAGTGACACACTCCTTTTAAAAACTGTTAGACAAACCAGGAGACAGACGTCCCACATGCCTGACTAACTTGATTGACTGACTGACCAAGTGGCTGTGGACTGCTTCGCGGCCAGCTGGCCCATGCGATTAACTGACTGACTGAACAAACGATCGAATAACTGACTCACTGACTGAAAACTGACTGACAACTGACTTACTTATCGGCAGACAGACTGCCAGATCGACTTTCGGACCAACTGACTTACTGACTTACCGACTGACTAACCAGTTGACTTTGTAGTAAACAGACTAAAAACTCCAGAAGACTAAAAACTCCGTTCAGGTCAAACAATGAGGCGAGGATGTCTTATTTTACTAAATTTTTTTTAACTTTGTTTATTTGTTCTTTTCCTTCCACAGTGCGGCGCATGATTGTGTGTGGCCTTTTAACTGCGCTTGCGTTAACCGCTTTCTGGATGTACCAATTCTTATATCCGGGAAGTGCTTTACGATATTGGATATGCGAGCATGGTTCCTTAGGAGATTCCAAATGCAATTTCACATTTATTCCCGAACGTGACACGGCACAGGTATATATGCGGCTTATATATATTTCAAACGGGTTAAATCAATCGTATGAAAGTGTATGTCCATCCGTCATCCATCAAGTTAGTCACAAGGCAGTCAAATACACTCAGTTACTCAATCAATAAGCTAGTCAGCGAGTCTTTCAGATTCGTAAACAGGCTTTGTCATTAAATCAAATAGTTTTTCGCCGAGTTTTTATTATGGAAAATTCCTCTGCAAAAACAAAACAAATTCAGGCAACTATATCTGCATTACCATAGACCTAAAAGAAATGTTGTTGAAACGTTCGTTGAATTTTTTATTACAGCGTTGCACAACAATTGGCCTTGAATTTACGTGGGATAGACTTAAAGAGAGAATGAAGCCGCATTTGGATGACATTCCCGAATTGGATTCAAAGAGTAAGTACAACAATCTTACACGTTCTTAAGGCCACTTGTCCGACTGAAGCAACGTTTGTGTGTGCGGTTTTATGCTAGCTGTTCTGTTGCTCAGTGCTCTCAAGAGGAGCTTTTATAAGTGTCTCCCCATAGGATGTCCTCTCAACTCTTCGAAATTATCTATATCATCATGATCTAATAAATAGGCCACGCAAGTAGTCTAGCGAGCGTATCTGTTGTCAGTCCGATTAGACAAAACTTCTCTTAAATTATTCAGAAAGACTATGTCGCATTCGGGAGGAACAATTATTTCTCCAATCTCGGGAGTGCAAGGATTAAAGCAGTGACCATTGCAACTGATCTTGGATTCAATTGCCCTGATAAAAAATGGTTTATAATTGAGGAAAAACTCAGAAATAAATACTGGAAAGCCAAAAGTTTTGCAGCAATGGGAAATATGGACAAAAATCAGACGGGTCGAACGTAAACCCAATGAAACCAGCCCAGTGATGTCAAATTTAATTAAGTTCAAAATTTTTAATTGATTAAAGGCAACACACTTAACAAGCTACTACATCATTCATCCTCTGTGACTGGCTCGCCACCCTAATGCTAGCGAACTAAGGGGGGGGGGGGGGGGGGGGCTTTACACAATCATGTCAAAGTGAATTCCCTGGAAACGTAGGAAAATTATAATAACAATAATAAAATTATTTATGTAACGCTTTATACAAAAGTTCCAAAGCACTTCACTATGATTTTAAAAAAATAATAAAACTTAAAATAACTTAAGGTATAAGATATCGTTTAAAAAGATAAGTTTTCAGAGATGAGTAACACTGGAGCAACGCTTAATATAACTGGGAGGACAGTTCCAAAACTTGCGGGGACATAAAGAGAATGCTCGGTCTCCATTAGTTTTCATATTTGACGAAGGAACTTGAAGTTGAAAACTAGATGAAGACCTTAAATCCTTGTCTGTTAGAGAGCTTCCGTAAGAAGCCAAAACGGTTTTATTTGACAAAATAAGAACATTGAGGAGTACCAAAAACGTGACTACAGCCATTACGGCGCATACATTCAAACTTGAGTTGACAACCATGATGTAGAAACGCAAATTGAATGTAATTAACTGTCAATGATTTTTGTGATTTCAGGAGTGCCTGGAAAGCACCATTACTATCTAAATGTGGATCGCTGTGCCTATGGCGGAGTAATCAAGCTATCCGCTCCAGTTTCCGGCATTTCGAACAACGAACAGATTTGTGGTCCAATTATTTTCGTTGTAAACAGTAACTGCTCTGCTGTTTATTTCTATCAAGATAAGCCCCACGCAGGTTGGAAAATATACCAGTCAGTTAAGCATTATGAATATTTACGCCAAAAACTACATTGCACACGCTCAGAAGTCTCCAGAGAATGAGCTATCTAAATAGAGGGCGATTACTAAAGATTCCTTTGTCGGGGGCAAATCATTAGAAGCTTGAACAAGTTTACTGCTTCTAAGATTGGAAAGCAAATTTTTCTAATTTTTTTTGCAACGGGTCTCTAACGAGTTCCTTGGATTTTAAACATAGCCAGCTTCAACGTCAATGCCATTTTATCCTGAAAAGGTTCTCTGTTATAAACTAATTAAGTGACATGTTTTCTTATGATCACGAATGATAATTTTATGTAAAGTAGAAACAAGCCTATAGAAATTAGCTGGCGTATATTTTAGAAAGTATTATACCAGTTGAATGAATTTCAAAGGTATTTATACAGTTTAAAAAAAAAAAGAATCCTAGAAACTTTGAGAAACTTTAATAAATGGTTTAGAAAATTTGAACCCACCTTTGATTTCCGCAGCTGCTTGTATTGGGTCATTTGGATTTTGTACCATAATATGGTCATCAGCACTGGTCTGCAAGTATTGATAATGCAAGTTACCTTGTTAGTTAATTTTTCAAATACTTCCTATATACTAAACTGAGTAAAAGAGGCTTTTCTGTCAAAAAGGTAGAAATGTTTTTCCCTATCAGTCGTATTCACTAATCTCCTAGTGAGGTCCTCTAACAGGTCAAGACTATCCTCTGTTGTACCGGCGGGAATGTGGGTCGCATCAGTTGAATTAACTCACGTCAAGAAGGGTTTACCGGCCATATTGCTCTTATTCTCCTTACTGGTGGGATTCCCGGACACATCAGTCACTTTGCATACACTTATTAGGGTATATAAAACCTTACTTACGAATCAGATTTAATTACGCGCATTAAATCTTTATTATGAAATAATCGAGATAGTACGTGCACTCTTATTGGTCAATTGGAGACTTTAGAACACAGTTGTGACTTCATACTTTTTGTGTCTGTGGGCACAATTTGGAAATATTTGAAACTCAAAGCTTTCGCAATTTTAAGTTCAAATAACAAATATTAGAAATGAAGAAAAATTAGTTGATTTTTTGTTTAGGGTTAAGCAGGAGGACCCCATTCTAGCTCGAGCAAAGAGGACAGAGTCTGCAATAAAATGTACAATAAACATTTTCCATAAAAAAGTTTCACTTTTGAGTATTGCAATAAAATCTTCTGCGAGAAATTCCTTTTGATGTTTGTTTTAAAATGTTCTCGAAAATGCACACCAAACTATGTTACATTTGTTTGCCGTGTTTTGGCTCTCAAATTTGTCCCAAACGTAACCAGTTTCTCTCAGATGTTTTCGGCGTAAAAAGCTACTTTCACATTGGCAATAATATTCGTTAACTTTTTAATTCAGAATTCGACAGAATGGGACATCAAAACTTTACTGACCAGTCAAACTTCACAAAGCACCATGAGTGATTCAACTTGTCAACCATGTTCTCAGGCTGCCAAATCGGGCAAGTTTTCGTCAGTTTGAAAAGTGATCAACCACAGTGAAATTCATTTTCAGCTTAGTTGAACTTCTGAGAAACTAATCTGAGAGCTTATGGTAAAAGAAGTCTACTGTTCCCGCCAGAGGTTAATGAAATATAATTGAAGTCAAACTAAAGGCAATATAGAAGGTTTGAATGGGTTGATGGCTTTTACGGCTAATGGTTAAAACTGATGGCTGATTTACGGCTCACGAATAATATTTTTCTCTTGTTGTCGCCAAAAAAAATTTTTCAGTTACATTTTTTTACGACTTAAGGTTAACATTTGTCAACACGACTAACAGCTCAATTTTTTAGCCGTTTTACGGATAACAGTGAATCCACTGAGAACCTCAACATTTCGCAGTCAAATTTCTGATTGCCACTTTACCCATTTTATTTTGTACACTGAAAGCAGTCGATGAAGACTGGATACTTTCTGGACAATAATTTTCCTGGGCTGTTTCCTAAAACAACGAACAGATTAAAAGCATGCAGAAAAAAAAAAGTATCGAAAACGTAGGCTGAAACATAATCTATTGTGGTTGATGTTCGTTTTCTCAGTGTCTCAAAAACGGTTTTAGTTTAGCATATCATTTTTGGTCATTTTTTCGTGATCTTTTTCATTAAAAAAAATGAAAGAAATTCTTATGGACTTACCTCACAGGTATTACCCAGTTAAACCCATCTCCTAATCCTTGGTTTCTAATATTATAACATTACTAAAGAATATGACTTTATACTTTGCCAAACAGGTTTCAACACGATTCTTGTCACTTCAGTTAAAAGTACGAGGTACAAAGCTGAATAGTCTGTTTCGGTAAGTTCAAAAACTCAATTGCTTCCTTGTAAAATTGCGCTTTGTGCATGAGAATTACAAAATAATTATGCTTAAAACAAAGGCTTCCCACTCACTAACGGTTTAAAAACCCAAGGCTTAGGTCATCTCAGAGGTACACTTTTTATGATATACATCTGCCATAGCCTCAAAATTTGAAAAAAAAAAGGCAGAGGCGCTCTCTAAGAGACGTGCGAATGTGTAGGAGTTAGGAGTTGTGAAATAACAGAACAGAAGTAATTGTTTCAAGCAGCGTGCAAATGTAAATAGTCTCTCTTATCGTAAGTTGAAAATCAAAACAAACATTTTGCGGCATGCACGTATGATCACTTCATAATCACGTCTATACGTGGGGCCTGGACAAGAAATACAGTTTAACAAGGTCTCGATAAAAAGATCATAGGTTTAGTGAAAAAGTCCTTTGTAATGGACTAAACAAATATACTTCTTGCGCAATTTTCCGATATAAGATTGATAAGACACGGAATGAAAGATTATTTTTAGCTGAAGATGTCAAGAGTCAAGTACATACTACGTTGGTAGCTATAAATAACTGAAATAGATCAGTATGAGTGTAATAAATAGTTACATTGTTTATTTAGTTCTATTCATGTTTCAATGTTATCCCGAGTTTTCATCAGAGGAGCGGGTGCAGCAAATGGCAATTCATGAGCGCCAAAATCTATCAGATTCTATAAATAAACCCTTCTGTCAGTAATCTTCCAGAGAGGGTCCATACTTGAGACCCTGCACTCGGGGTTGCGTGATGGTAAATAATATCTAGATTATGTACGGAGAGGTCATAATTTTTCAACAATGAATCACAATAGGAAGTCAACTTGCGGCCTTGTTAGAAAGTGACTTAACGGCAAGCTGGCGTCAGGTTTTGAGTCGTAAACGGAGACGAATTATCTCAATTGTTTCCCGATGAGAAACGTCATACCGTCTAAGACTGCAAATGTAATAATCGTTTGAGCTGCCAAGTTTCGCAACCAATTCGATTTGAAGATTACCTTCCCACGACAAATAAATGGACAAAGATCACATCAAACACAGTATTATGGCCAAAATTAGACCGTGTAATCAATGATCCACATTACTTACCTGAACAGGATTACCAAACAAAGCGCGTGGGTTGACCACAATCAACCTCAGTAAATTGATCAGTTTGAGTAAGCAGGTAAGCACAATTTCCGGTAACACCCGCCGTGATTGTGTAGGAGCATTTCGGACATTTCAATCGCACACTTATGAAACAAACTTGCTCGGTATTAAAAATGTTGATCAAGTGTCATGTTATTGAGAACAAGAGATGCATTTCATGTACCTATAAGTGTTTGAACTCTGTACAATCCGACGCACGTGTCTAGCTTGAACTAGGTTGATAAAATCACAGTTCCGACTAACAGCTTCAAACCGTTTTCATGCCTAATTCCAGAGTATCCTACGATCTTGGTCCTTCGACGATTTAGCAATAACGAGCTGTTTCTTACCAAGGACTCGGTGACAACGCTTCGCACGTGAATACCAGCAATGTCAGGGTCTGGATCAGCGGTTGTTAACTCCTCCTCCATAAATTTAAATTCTCCGCCTGACCGCAATAAATCCTCCCTTTAAAACCATGGAAACTATCAACGAGCCAAGAATTTTATACAGAGAGTTCTTTCTGGAAACAGCTTTTCAGAGAGCTCACAACAACTGGAAGCACCAGACAGCGCAATTAGGCCCAATGCAGTTTAATTCAGATTGGGAAGAAACCCTAAATGACATCGACGAGCTGATACAGTCTGAGCTAGGATGCTCACTGTCAGGCCTTTCTCCGTATGATGTAGCGCATCTTTCAAACAAGATTGAATCGCGAGAAAGTTATACGCAATTTAAGACCAAGACGAGCTCGAGCGACCCCTCGAAATGGAATCTCTCAGGTAAGTTTGTCACTTTAAAAGTCATTGGCAAATTTGTCAAACGGTACGTTCTGCCTCATCGGCTGAAGAAATCACCGCATGCAAATTTGTGGGATTGCCGGTCATAGGAAGGTGACTACTGTTTACTTCTCTGACTAGAACTGTTCGGGAAAATTTTTCGATTTTCAACTTGAAATAGTTTTAATTTGGCCCAAAAAACTTTATGAATCTCCTTGAAAGTAATTTCCATCTCTTGAAGCCACTTGCTTACAAGTTTATATCAGCAATATGAATACACCTTTATCATTCATGAATGCATGGGTGAGCCGTACGGTTCTGTTGTTCTTCTTTTCTACAAGAAATAATAAATAACCCATCTGTAACGGCACGGTTGAATTAACTGTTGCTGGATAGTCCAACTAATGTGATCAGAAATAACTTTTATTGCTCAATTTGACCGGGAACCACATGCTGCAAAGAATGATCGAAAAACTGCATTTGCTGCGTCTTTAGGTTTATTAACTCACACAACAGATGCACGTCACATTTTCCAATTAAAAGATCACTGATCACTCATATAAAAGGCGAATGTCTAGTAAGGATAAAGTTTTGTAGCAAAGGAAAATTGCAAATACGTACATGAGTTTATTTGCAATAAGGAAGTGTCGAGAAGAAGCAGACAAGAGTAGATAGTAAGAATCCACCGAGCGCCGAGGGCATTTTCTATTTATGTTGTCGCCGTAGACGAGGTCACAAATTTAGCGAGGCTAACGTCAATGGAAGCCCAGACGCCTTTGAATGAATGGAATGGATCAGATTAGATCGTAGGGTTTCCTTTCGGGAAGTAACTTATCGCGATATCTTAAATAAATTTATATCACAAAATTACGCAACAACGTGCAAGCGATAGAAATTTTCTAGGTAAAAGTAAATTTTTGAAAGAGCTCGCACCATTCGGTGAAATGGAACTCCCTAAATGAGAGTCAGAACCATTGCTTTAACGGCGAGCAAAGCTTTTCGTAAGTGTCACAGACACATTTGTTGATCCTTCAAAGGCTTAGTCGAATAAAAGTATCCTTAGCTCGGCCGAAGACTTGCGCCCCTTCTCATTCACAAAGAATAGATTTATATTATCAGTCGATAAATCGGTCGGCTTTGTCAAAATTCAAAATCGATAGCAACAGTTGCAACAGATGCTTAACTGCTAAAACCCTCATCTTGTTTTTGTTGAACCTGTTAAGATAAGAGCTATATTTCTTTCCCCAACTACTCTACCTTACTCGAGATCACTAATTTCCAAGAGAAGAAGAGCTTGAATCAACCCTTTCTTTTATTATAGGCATGTATTTACTTCAAAGGCATCCTCACAAGTGTTTCGGTGTACTAAATTTCTCTTCTGATGTCCTCTTAATTATAAGAATATCCTCAAGCTTCATAAATCCGAGTTGCCACATCGATCACTAAAGATTCCTCTGTCCCAAAGTGTGAAGCAACGAGCAAGACCAATTGGAACTCTATAATTTAGACACAACAAAAAAAGTTGTGACCACCAAGCTTATGATAAATTTACACTAGTCATATTTTAAACTTTCTTCATAAAATATTATGTAAAGTCTCTTCACAATATATGCAACAGAAAATAGAGCTCGAAATTTGAACTCATTTGCCCTATATCTAAAGCACTATACAGGTTACTTGCTTAACAGAAGAGCCAGCTCCATTTCCAATGATCTATCAATTCAGTTGAGAGCCATGCCTTTTGGGAAAACCTAAAAGGTTTTAGGAAAACCATTTCTGCGATTGAAAACCCTATTGCCCACGACTCTAGCTTGACATTAACATCTATTGACATTGATGAAAGTAGTTTGTGATTTGACATACTCAATTTTTGTTTGTTAACTTGTAAATGTATCCATATGTTTACATTAACTTTAGTATTCTTAAATTGACTAAGTTGATTTTCTTTTGCAATCAATTTCAATAGATCTGTTCACATGATATGCAGTAACTTATTTACTACGTTAACATCACTATTTCTTTTCTGCTTAAGTAAACGCTCTGAATCAAACAGAGGATCAAATAATAAGATCAGACCCCATATTGAACTCTCCATAACTCTCCTAGCTAATTTGGAAGAGAAAAACAGTATTAATATGAGGGAGAATTCCATCCCCAAATCAGTCTTCAGCTAAACATCAACTATAATTAACTAGTCACCAATCTATTAAAAACCTTTCAACTCTTTAAAAATCCTCAGGAAATATGAATAAGATCGTTCATGCTCCTCAGAAGTCCACTGCAGCCAAGGCTACTGGACATGTGAACAACAACAATGAGGACATTGTGGAAGTGCAAATTTTGGATCTCAGGGATGTTTATGAAAAGAAAACTAAGAAAGGACCCAAAGGCCTGGAATATCGCCTCGAAAACCCAAAAGTAATGGTAAAGGTGCACGCCGACCTGGAAATCACTGAAGTATGTGCATTTGTAAAGAGGTGCGCCAGAGCTGCCATGAGAACCCACGACAATAGAGGTAAGATCAATTTTATGGCTAATATGTAAGATTTTAAACATCATGTGTTCCTCGACCACTCCACTAAGTATATACCCTTATACACTTATACACTTATACACTTAGTATATACCCTTATGCTGTTTACGAGAAATGATTACGTTTGCATTTCCACAAAAGCCATTGTAGAAGATACATGCATCGCTGATTCAATGATTTGGAGCAGCGGCTTTAATATGTTTGAATACAAAGAACAAAAATAGTGGAAGAGAATGGACTGCTCTTAAGTTGAGTTTTGCGGAAAAAATCAGTAACATGATTTAATAGGGATAGATTATGGTCTTTCCAAATTATTATTATGTTGTTTCAACCAAAGAAGAACAGTAACTCTTATACTTATTCCTCACTCGTTGAAAAAGTACATCAAGACAATATCACTCGATCAATTGATAAATCCATCAATTTTCCATCGACCGACATTGCAACATTGCACTAAACATTGCTAAGGATTCGTTCGCCTACGTGTGAAATGTATGCTCGTACTTCTTCGATATATTGGCAAGGGTTTGCGGAAGCCTTAAGGCTTTTCAAAGAATACATTGTGTTCATTAATTTAAAGATAATTACTTGCACGAGCATGATCACGCACTTATTAAAATATTTCTGCATGATTAATAAGATATGGTTGAAAGCATAGAAAGCAAAGGTCGCGAGACGCAGATTCTAGAATGATTATTCACCATGAAATCATATTCAAAGCCGGATAATTTTTTATAATTTTAGGATGATTGGCCGCGAAAATTTGTATTCAATTTCTCGGCAGGGCTAGCTTTGGAAGACCTCTCAAATGAATATGGTTTATTGATCTACAGTAAGAATCATCATATTTTCTTGCATTTGTTGGATATTGGATCCGAATAAGTATTATTTGACGTGTATTTCATGAGATGCATATATTTTTCTGAGACTTGAAAATTTTGTTTAGTTCTTTTGCCATTCCAGCAAAAATACTTTGTTCACTGAGCATTACACCCTTGTTTAACTTCAAACGAAAATCAGGTGCTGTTAAACTTACAGTCAGTGTTTTGGAAAAGGAGAAGAAGCGACAAGTCATTTCTGTAGATCTCGGTTCAGTCTACATGAACCAAGATGGAGACAATTTTTATTGGTTGGAGAAGGCAGATGTCACTGAACGGAACAAATGGGAAGTAACTCTTAAGATAGATTTAGTTTCTGGACTGACAGCAAGGGCGACATCCCGACCATTTCGAGTAACGACGAAAGTGAACTACAAGAGAAACATCCAAGGTAACTGAACAATTTGGCATCCTCTACTGTCTATATATCACGTGATTAGTGTTAATCTAGTAAGTACTATATACCTGGTGCTGTTAAAGTCAGAATGTGCATGATACTTTGATACTACTGCAAGTTTTATTCATGGCAATTAGGACAGGTGTTCTTCAAAGTATATCAGTTAGAGCTGTAAAGTAGTTATTACTATGGGAGAAAGCGTTAAAAAAATTTCAATTTTATTGTTGATGTTCCTGATCCCATTCTATCGTAAATTCATGGACAAAAAATTTCAACATGCTTTCTTACCAGTGGTGATGCATTTCAGTGAGCTCAAGAAAAACTAATCGGTATATTTTCTCTTCAATTGCCAGATTATTCCAGCGTGGGTAAAGTGCAAAACCTGATTTGCAATGTCATGAGATCAAACCAGACTTCGTCAGACAATGATCATGTTAATGATGATGTATTCCTTGAAAGCAATGAAATGGAAAAGAGTAGGTTGAAGAGAAGATTTTTTCAATTACCTATGAGTAGAAAACCCGTTTTACTGATATTTCACAGTCATCTTTTACTAATATACCATATCTGAGAAGAAAACAACCACGAAGGAAATTTTAATTGACCTTTGTTGTAGCCAGGGAGGGAGGCCTTAGCCAAAAACACAGCAAATCCTGACTCCTTCAGTTTGAACTTGACAATGCTTCGCTGGTCTCCTTTACTGCATGAAGAATGATTTTCCTTGTAAACATTCCCTAAATTAACCAGCGTTTTGTCCTTTTCTCCTCGGTTGTAATGTCTATTTGTGACCTTCTAGAAAGATGAAAAAAGTCCTAGAAGCTAAGGCCACTTGTTTGTAATAGATTGGCTTCAACCATTTTTTTTTCCTTATACTAGTGATCTCTTTGCTAAGCGTATCCAGGTGATCGCGATTTGCAGAAGCTACACTTTACTCTTTGGATGATGCATTATGAAATAATTGGGGAAGTTGAAGTGAAACATAAATTTCTCCATAATACTGAGTCCGCAATACCATAATTGGAAGGTTGATTTAAGTAATAACATAGCTACCTGTATAAATCTCTCCGGTCCATGCACTTTTTCAGATCATTTCAGGCAAATGCAAGACACAAGGGCAATGGCGGATGATAACGACGATAATCTGTTGACTCACAATCTATTGTGTTTTAAACTCGATGAAACAGATGACTGGTGGTCGATAGCTTCTTCGAACAATGTGAATGACTCAAGCTCAGTGCTAAGCCCTCTAGCACATGAAAGAATAATTCTGCAACCAAACACAATTCTACAGAGACCCACGGTAAGAAGTGAAAGGTATCAATAGGCAATAGGGTTTCCTTACCAGAGAAGGCAACTTTATGGCTCAAGAAAAATTTTATTTTCAATTTCTATATTTAATCATTATTTTTGGGAAAATTTCGAACCATTTGAACCATGGTCTAACAGTTTTCATGTTCGAAATGTAGAGAAAATTGAACGGTTCCAAGTGTAAGCCTTGATTACATAATTAATTTAGCTTAAAAGTTCTAAGGACAATAGTTGCAACAATACTTGTACCTTGAGTTACTTCTGAATTAGAAATAGAAACCTGGAAGGGAAACCTGGTGGAACCAGAGACACTTTTCACTTACGAATCAAAAGTTTATTTATTGTTACCAAAATTATGTTAACATACTGTTAAATTATGTTAATTATGTTAATTATTAACGCAAAAATTCATAGCTAAGACATCGGTCAGGAAACATTAAGAAATCTTAATATGCTTCCGAAACCCTTCATCAAACTTGTTGAATTTCGGTTGACAATCCCTATTTTGGTTACCTATACCAGGCAACACCCCGCCATGATGGAAAACAAACTTTGGCCTCGAAGATGTGTTTATTTTAAAGTCGATATATTGTGTCATTTCATGTTTAAGAAAACCTCTTTTAATTTTTGGTTTGTTTGTTTTTTTTTGTTTTGTTCTTCTGTGGGGAAGGGGATAATGCAAAAAGATGCTTGACTGTTGAGTGTTTTCAAAGGCCGGAAAGCACTAAGGGTGTGTGTACTGACGGAAAACTATAGAAAAATTTGAAAACTTAAGCTTTTTTTTAATTTTTTTTATAGAGCATGAAAATAATTCTTAAAGTTTCAGTTGTTCATTAGTTTGCAAAAGTTGATGATCGAATGCGTTTGTTGCATTTTTAGGTTGCATCATATTTCGGTCAGAAATCAGAGATCAGTTGCATTATGGAACAACCTGAGCTTAGTGGTTTGCTAAAGCTGGTGAGAAAGCGAACCACTGAAGAGAGTGCAACCATTAAACAAGAAAAGAAAACCAGGAGGAAGAAGTCTTTACTCGATGCAAACTACGCATGGGCTTGTGGATACTGTTTTTTCGAACGTCGCAAGAAATCAACAATTAGGGCGCATTTGATCCAAGGAGTTTGTCAAAGATCAAGATTATATAGACGAAAGTCAAAGAAACGCCGTTCCTTTTCAGCAAGAGGGCGTCTTTTAAGTAATGGCTTGGAAAATTCTGACCTCGAAAAACACAAAGGGCGGTCAAATAAATAAAACCTCTGAAATATGAACTTCTGGATAAAAATGTAAATCATGATACTTGTCTACTGTAGCAATAATAACAACAACGGGCTTAATGCGGAAACTTGTGTATGATTCACCACAAGTCGCTAAGGTTATTCCAGAGATATATGAACCAAAACGTGTTGTACGTTTGAATCCGGTCTTGCAGGTTGAAAGCCAGTCGTTTGTTATTTTGCAGAATGCATGGTACATAATGGTTAAGTTCGTCAAGTAGGATAGCATGACATACTGAATCAAAAGTATCCTTTACGCACTATATAAAAACACACCACACTAAATAAGACATTTGTCCATATTTCTCTGAATGGCATTTTCTATGCAAACACTTCCATGTTGAGTTGAGTGTTTTCCTCGAGGCCCATACTGAGAACGTTAAGTATATCCTCATTATTGATAAAGTACAGTACTATGCAATGTACATCAATTTTGCAAAAAATTATGTTAAAGTTAGAAAATAAATTTATTGGTTTGTTGTTATGTCTCAGTTTCATCACCTGCCTTGAACGTGGGTAATGTATGCGTTTTTTGTTTTGCTGAATGTGGTCTAAGTAAAGCAAATAAATTTGAGATATCTGCTGAGACGCTTCCTAAGACATCACTTTCATAATTCAATACTCCCGTGAGACAGGAGTAGAGGCTGTGCGATGCATGGTTTGGAAAGAAAAAAAGTTCCAATTGACTTTTAGCCGGAATGATGGGTAGCCTGCAGTGCAGGCATCTTGTTAGTGCAACCTAACGCTAAAAGCTCGCGATCGTTTGTTCCACCGGCCATTTTTAATTTGCAGTTTGACCGTCGACCGCCCCCTTGGTATAAATTTTTCCTCTCCCCAGCCTTCCGCTGCCATTAAAATCAAAGATGGCAGCCATAATATTTGTTATGAAATTACTTAGCACTGGCTAGCCTAAATTACGCCTGCTCTGCAGGCTAGAATGATGGGTTGAAAAAAGAAGAATGAGCTGGATGCTTTACATTAGATTAAGAAATTGTTGAAAGAGTTTGGAGTTGTAGGTAATTCGTTTGTATATTTATTCCCCGCAGAAGTGTGCCTCCAGAATACTGGGTAAAGTCATGGTTGATTTCGCTAATGTTTTGAAGTCCATATGATCGTGGGTAGAGTGAGAAAAGTCAAAATTAAAATTTCCACTTAAAACTGTGGGTTATTGAAACCCACAAACCCATTGGTTGTTTGAAACTGAGTATAATGTTCCCTAACGAAGCTAATAATGCAAAACTGAACGAGATAATTGTTAATGTCCACTGTATTTTCACTTGTTCAGGATTGTTTACAAAAATACTATCGATATGAGGCTAATCAGTTGTAGGAATAAAATAGTCGCTTTGGCGAGCCAACAAGAAATCCAGGCAATACCGTGGTCTTAAATTTGAATAGATCGATAGATAGATAGAATCTCTTGAGATATACGGGGTTGTTTTGGGTTGACAAAACTTTCCAATGCTTTGAAACGGTCCAAAGAGTCGAGTTGTCTGCACGTGGACCCACAAATTATGTTTTGTTTGTGACTAATGATATTCCGGCCCACATACATTGGAATGCTTTTGTCTCAAAGACTGTTTAACAAGGAATTTCATCGATAAACATTCCTTCTTCACAGGGCTTCTCAAATACAAAACATGGCATTGTTGGAGAGCAATTAATTGACAGGATTTGAATTAGTTAACGTTTACTTTAATGTTTAAAGTAAAGATAATCATCATGTCTTCCAGTCAAGTTTAATAAATCATATAAGCTGAAAATTTATTGAAACCTTGTGGTGCAGCACGGGTCGCCAAAGTTATTCTCGAAATATGTGAACCAAAAATGTCGTTTGAGTCCGGATTTGTCAAGAAGGGTAACATGATCTACTGAATGGATCGTTTTCTGTACTTCTATTAAAATAGAAAACGCACACACACGCCACACCACGTTAGACGTTTGTTTAAGGTTTGTTTGTTTTTTTAGCAAAAAAAAAATACCAACCCACATAGCTTGGAATGCACCATTAGATATTACCTCTGAAAATATGTAGTTAAACGTTTTATCAACATAAATTCCTTCTCGTTTAGAGGGCGTAAGAAATTATTCTAATTCTTAACCCGGTATTTGATTTAAAATGGCAGTTTGCGTTTCCGTAACACTACAAATATTAAAAAAAGAATTTAGTTCATCCAAGAAATGAGTTTGAAGAATTTCAATGTACTATCTCTACTTTTGACATTATTATGCAATATCGGAAGACTGCTATTATAAAAGAGTCGTTTAAGATTGACGAAAATCTTTCAATACTTTCATCAAAATAGTCTGAAGAGTTGAGTTGTCTGAACATGAGACTTAGTTCAACCAATGAATGAATTTGATAGTTTTTAAGATATCGAAGAATTATACATAAAGGTATATGACATTATTATGGAATATCAAGATACTGCCATTGATGTCTTCCTCATTTAACTTGTGTACAATTTCTTGAGAGCCGGGAGGAGGAAAATATCAGCTTTGTTATGTAATGAATCAATAAATTTATTTTTAAACTGGGCTAAGATCATCATGTAAATCTTTGAATTCAAGTAAGATAAATAAAAGTCACTTAAGCTGGATAATTTGTCCATGGAGTTTTGGTCTTACTACTGGTAACAGAGCATGATAAACAGTTAGAACTTCCTTAAAGTTTAAGATAAGCAATTCTTGTGAGGATTCTTTAGTGAATTTTGACCTAAACATCTCTTAGCACTGAGTCATTTAAAAGAGTTCCACAATCTAGCTATAGATCAAACAAGATACTCATCCATTCCGGGGTTGTCATTTGGAGCAGTGGAGATGGTTAATTCTTTCATCCTCAGGTTATCCATAACCTCTTTGATTGTAATGTCATTGCTTAAGAGTCTTCCTTTTTACGCAGAAGATTGATTCCACAAATTCCACGGCCGAAACCACTTGTAAATGTAGCTTATGTTAGGCGTCTCTCGCTAAGGATGGTAGTTCCAGCAGGCGAGAAGATAAAAAGGCGGACTGTACTGGTTAACCTAATGTTTATAGAAGTGAGTGGGCCGAGAGCATCCGCTATAAGTTAATTTGATTTGTTCTTTGCCGCATTATATGTTGCTGTGGCCGGTCATTCTCTGAATTGCTTAACTAAACTCCGTGGGCAATATCGATATCAGAGAATGGTATTTTAGCTTCTGTAACATTAAGAATGCTAAGGGAAAGTCTCGCCGTTTCCATCGAAGTTTTCATATTGCTTAATTCTCTCTGGAGCCCACTGTGAACATTAGCCTTTTCAACACTTCTTTGGGAATTTGAGCGCCATCTTGTCCTTAATAAACTCCAGAGGGACGATTTGAAGGAATTTTAAGTTAGTGAACACAGTTTGATTCTAGTCAGGCGAAATTGTAGCAATATCACAAATGCACTAGAAGATTTCAAAAATGTTTTGCTTTGGGCAACTTACTTTGAAGATGATGTACGACGCATGGTCGCGCCAATGCAGCAATGTGGTTCTGCGGTCAAATAACTTAAATTTGCCCAAAATCTTGGGTAAACCACTGTAAATTGCGAAAAAGTTTTTCAAAATGGGAGGGAATTTAAAACTCATCGAAAAAAGGGAAATGAAGAGCTCAAAGGCTAAGTTTAGAGTATTTTGGTGGACTTTCATAGGTCCTATGAAGAAATGGCGCCAAACTATTGACAAGCTAATGCGAATTACCTAGTGTACACGATTTCTAGAATCTCAGTAATGTCTGCTACAAAAAGCAGAAATATTCAAAGAACGCCAGAAGTTTCCAGAAGATGGAAAGTAGACTGGACGGTGTGGAGTCCAATTCGTTAAAGGCGATTAACAACATTTTGACTGATGGTTACCAATACAAGATCTTTGTTTGTGATTCCACAGGAAAACAGTGAAGCTTTGCCTCAGAATTTTTTCAGGGTACATGACAGACTGATAATGCCTACAGAGTTTCCCTGTGAAATTCAGAGCGTGGTCAGCGACAGCAACATTTCAATTTCAAAGTTGTTGAGAGTATGGCCCTTATGTGGCGATCAGGTACAACATAAACCCACTTATAGCGGATGTAATTTGCTTACCCTCCCCGATTGAAGTTGGGGAATCGCTACATTCAGCTATTTCACTATACTGGAGCTACTAAATTGAGTAAATGATCTTTCTGCGTAAATGGAAGGCTCCACAGTAATCAAATTACACTGAAACGAAAGAGGATCTGGATGACCCAGGGATAAAAAAATGAACCAATTCCATTCCTTTAAATAGGGGCACAAGTAAGCATCTTGTTTAACCCTTTCACTTCCAAGATCTCATTAGTAATTATCTTTACTGTCTGCCGTACAATTCCTATAATGTAATTTTGGAGAATTTAGTGTTGAATCAACTAATAATCCCCTAATTAATGTTTTTCTTTATTCTCATCACTTCTACGCTTGATATTGTAAGGAGAAATTCTTTCTTGGTCACTCATAAGAGTTAAAGGGTTAAGTGATCTGCAGCTGCTGATCTTCTACATGACTCAGCTTTAAGAAAAAAGCTCATGTCAAAATACGGAAAGGTATCCTTTTAATTACTAAAACTTAAGGGAGACCTTTAAATACCGTTTACTATTGTTAGTTAAATATAGTATAGACTAGAGCATTCCTACATTAATTATCCAGCTCATATATGACTTTGATTTATTTCTTTTAAATACAGGAAACGATAACAATCTTACTTTGAACAATAATCTAATGAATCATTACATACAATTTCTTCCTTAGTCGCCACCAAGAAATGAAAAAACAGGTGAACAAAAGATGAAAAAACAGTCTCTCGTAATATTCTCATGAGTAGAGATCAAACTTTGAAAATCTTCAACTGTTGGAGTAATTAAAATCAAATGCCATGCAGGTAATGAATTTTAATAAGTTCCTACGCCCTTTTGAGGTGTAGGAATGTTTGCTTTTATTACATATCCTAAGGGAAAACCG